GGGGGGGGGGGGGGGGGGCAAGGCCAGGGCGAAGTGTTTTTGGACGTTCTGTTCGCCGGAGAGGAAAGACGCGTTCAGATCGTCGTTACTTTCGTCTCCCACTTTTTGACTTGTGCGCTGGAGTTTTGCGAAAGTCGACTCTGCGTGGCGGTGTCGAAAATCGAGAACTCGCCCCCCAGGTAAACCTTCCTTTCTCCCCCTCACTTTTCTTCCAAGGCGATATTTCGGCTTCCTCCCCGCTGGTGTGTTTCACTTTGATGCATATTTTTTATGCAGCTTGCAGCAGGAACACCTCTGCTGTCGGAGTCTCCGGAGACCGCGAAACCGTGGACGAAGAAGGGGGCCCAATGGGGAGAAGCTGGGGTAGGAAGGGGCTCCGCGGAACAACCCCGCCCTCCCTTGCTGCTGCCAGGGGCGCGCGCGATGGTCCGCCTCTGTCTGTCGAAGGTGCTAGCGTCTGTCTTTTTGCCGTGGGTCCTCTCGACACAGTGGTGTGTGTGTGTGGACGGCCCGACCATGTTGTTGTTGTTGTTGTTGTTGTTATCTTCACGTACGAAACCGTTCCGATCACCCTGCCCAGTACTGTACCTCCATCTGCCCGGACTGATCAACCGCCCGATCGTGGAGCCAGGTAAGTGATGCGCGAAAGGTGTGGCGCTAGTCAGGATGATATGTGACCAGCCATGAAGAATTTCGTGGGGTGTTTGCTGCTGGTGAATGCATGTAAAGCAGGCGGCAATGGAATGATGTGACTGCCGCAGCAGCAGAAGGTGCATTCGTTTTTCACGACGCGCGAGAGAGGATTGATGGTCGTCGTTGTTCCCACCCGCTCACTCGTGTCGGCAAGCGACATACTCGTACATAGACAACTGGGGATACAGAAACATCGCCGATGTTTCATGCACGTTGACGACGCATGTAGACCGTGCGTCCGCTCACTCGTGTCGGCAAGCGACATGCTCGTACATAGACAACTGGGGATACAGAAACATCGCCGATGTTTCATGCACGTTGACGACGCATGTAGACCGTGCGTCCGCTCACTCGTGTCGGCAAGCGACATGCTCGTACATAGACAACTGGGGATACAGAAACATCGCCGATGTTTCATGCACGTATAACATCACCGGTGTTTCATGCACGTTGACGACGCATGTAGACCGTGCGTCAACTTTTGTGCGTAGTTGCCTTCGAACGTGCCGGTGGAAACAACGAGCTTGTCGTGTGCACACTACCGTGGGATATTTGTTTTGTGCGGCCTGTTGATGATACCCTGTTCGCAGGGATGTGTTGAAGCCTCGTCCTCACGGCGGTGAGGATATTTTTGAGTGGTGATCACGTGCTGAATGATTTGCTCTGGTTGGGTCCGTTCAAGCCTATCCACTGAGACGCCTTCCGGAAACTTGCTCCTTTTTTGACAGGGTTTATCGATCCAGTCTTGGTCTGTGAACGGGCTCGTCATGGGCAGCCTCGGCGAGATGAGAGAGTCGATCATGCAGGTGCACTACAGTCGTCCCCGCTTAGGGACACGCTTGGGACACCCATCTTAAATCAACCCCTCGCTTTACGGCAAATCATCTCAAGTGAACTCCCCACTTGACGGATACTCATATTTACATCAACTCTCCGCTTTAAGGACATTCATCTTAAGGCAATTCCTCGCTTTCAGGATGCTCATCTTCAAATAAACTCTCCGCTCTAAGGACACTCATCTTAAGTTAACTCTCCGCTTTAAGACACTTTCTTAAGTCAACTCCTCTCTTCAAGGGCACTCATCCTAAGTCAACTCCCCGCTCTGAGGACAAGAAGAATCTCAGAAGCAGGGCGCCCCACAGATATCGAGGGGGGTACCGGTCTTGAGCGTGCTTCCCCGCGTCAAGGACGCTTTGGACAACGAAAACAATTGGTGTCCTTGAGGTCGACTGTGCTACAGACAGACAGAGAGTTCATACGTGTATTGCAACGCTTGTTTCAACGTTTGCAGTTGGGTCCTGTCGCTTTTCATTCGGTGCGACGATGAACTCGCTTGAGATCCCTTTTCTACCCCGCACTCCTGTAAGTCTTGTGTTTTCTGCACATGTCCACACGTAGGCGAGAGGCTTGCGCTGGTTTTTCATCTCCCGCTTGATGCTAAGGTTTATGAGGGCACAGCATATACACCGTTTGTACCGTCGGGTTGTGTGTGGCGTTTTCGAAACGTTACCAATTCGCGCCTCCCGGCAACCGGTGAGCAAGAGCTCGTGCAACAACTTGTCGTGCTCGCTCGGTTTGGTACCTTTGTGTTTTTTTATGCTTGTTTTCGTGTCTCGCTGCTATTTTGTCATCAATTATCCGTCCGATGTCTTTGGTACGTTTATGGGTCATCTGCCCTGTCCTGTCTATTTCATCTTGTGGTGGCAAAAAAGGTGGTGATGCAAGAACATATGCTCCTCGGCCAGCTGGTGGGACAGGGTCTCGTCTCGGATAAGTGAGTCGGACGGAGCAAGCAAAAAAAATGCACTAGGCGTTGCATTCCACTAGAAGAGAGAGAGAGGAGAGAGAGAGAGAGAGAGAGAGAGAGAGAGAGAGAGAGGATAGGAAAGGGCCGGGTGGTTGTGCAACCATTTGCTCTTGCAGCACGCGCCCCCTTAGCTCTGCAGCGTACGTAGGCCACCGATGTTGTCACTCGACGGAGAAGGTTACAAAAAAGGCGGCAGAGCTTATTTAAGGTTCAGCTTCGAGTCGAGACGAACAGGGGGGTCTCAAGCGTTGGCCCCTCCAACCTCCGAGAGGATGACATCTCTTCTTTGCCTAGGGTGAAAAGTATCGGCAGGGGTTAGTCGAGTCTGGTCGACAGGGTTCGTTTATGCGTGTGTGTTTCCTTTGACCCTGTAGTTTGAGTGGTTTTTCGTTACGTCACGTACGTTCCTCGGCCCCACTGTATTGTTGCCTCACGACGCCCGCCGCCTCTCCCCGTCCCCGCCGCCGCAGTCTGGCGCCGCACATGCGTAAGTTTACCCTTGCCAGACCAACACAATGTAATCGTCATGCGGCTGCCGCTGCAGCTGTCCTGCCGAACTGTTCAAACCGACAGCCAATATTCAATGTTCTCACAGCCCAAAGAAAGTTCTTGAGATTCTTGAGAACAAGTTACAAATCAATGCTCAGGCGTACAACCAAAGCGATCATCCCGCTGCCGCTGGTGCCGGCCCGGCTCCCCGTCGCCGATCAGGACGAAGGACGTTTACAGCAGGGCGCTCAAGCACAGCGGGGACAAGGTCCACCCCCGCATCCACCCCGCCTTCACGGAAACCCTCGCCGACGCGAAGGTGGTCGACCTCTCTTCCTCCGACGCGGTCGAGCTCTTTGTCGGGGACATGAACATGAACAACGAGGAGGGAGAGGAGTCTGCGGAGCCCCCGCTCTATCGGGGGGG